AGCGGTTACATGTGTTGGTTTTGCTGTAGATTTTCCTTTTACTTCCTTCCATCCTCCATTGTCTACTGCTATCATTTGGTTTTCAGTGTTGTTTGTTTTCTCTTCTGCTTTTCCTTTCTGCTGCATTTGTCCTCCTGTCCCTTTTATTTGCCATATCTTCTTCTGCACATTGTTCCTTGTTGGTTTTGCATTTTCCTGTTCCCTTTGTTCATTACAACTGTGGCCAATCATCAAACACTTTCCACAATAATCTGGTTTCCATATGTACTCTCTTTGCCTAAATTTCCTTCCATTTGGGTCCTGCACCATTGTAGCATCGGGCAGTGGCACTGTTACATCCATTTCAATTAATATTTTGGCATATGATGTTCTCTCCATTCTTGTTGTACATTCATCAGCATAAAGAGGCACCCCTATCCCACTCCCTATCCTGCTCAGTGAGTCTGCACTCCAGCAATTCAATGGCAAATTTGGCAATGTTACCCACAGGGGAATGGTCTTCAATATCTCATCCTTGAAATTGAAATCAGGCGTCCAGACTTTAGTAATTATAGGCTTGTTACCAATCGTGTGAGGTCCTGAAAACATAATTGCATCTCTATCCTCCTTATTAGTGAATTTTATTACAATGTATCCTTTGTTATGAAAGTAGATCATCGGTTTAGCTACGAAGTTCCATTGACTAGCCACAAATCTCTCCAAAGCTCCTATAGTAGGTGTGTTGCCTACTACATATAATATCATAGCATTCCACCATTTTTCTGTTTCCTTCTCCACTTCATTTTTTGCTAATTCAACAATAGTTTCCCCATTTTTCACAATTGGAGCCACAAAACTGAGATTCATACCTCGCAATCCAAATCGATTGTTTCCAACTAGATTAGCCCATGTCCTGTTCTCAGGTATTTTTGTTTGAGTTTCATCCGCTTTTTCCTGCAGCTCCGTCACCTTTGCGCTCCCCTGCTCAATTTGCTCCTTCTGAAGTAGATCCCCCATGCATGTACCGGCGCCATGGTTTGAGGAGTTCCTCTGATCTGATTGTTGTTCAGCTGCATAGTTCCACTTACAATTGCACCGGAGATTGGCGTGTTAGGTCCACTCCGATTTGGCAAGTTTGGCCAGTCTGATTCCTCTTCCGTTCCTTCTCCTTCCTTGCATGCAGTTGTTATACCTATCCTTTTGGCAATCGCCTCAATAGCCACAGTTGTTTTGTTGTTTTGCTTCCTCGCCGGCCTTCCTCTGGCCATTTTCGATGGCTGAAACACGGTAACTTCACTACTGTGTTCTAGAGAGAGAAAGTAGAGAGTTAGAACCATTGTTGTTCTGGATAATGGTTAATGTCTACAAGATACAAGTCTTATTAAGACTTTTAGCCTAAGTCATGATTATGCTATATTCCTAGGTGGCCATTTGGCAAAAGTGACCAAGAGTCACCTTTTGCTATTGTCGTTTCTTGCCACGTTGGGGGGTCAATCTATTAATTTTTTAAAATACTTCATATATACTTTATGTATTATATTGCCGTGGTCATATGGTACCTTGCATGATACTAGTTCATAATTATCGGGTATTATCGCTCGATCCGTATTTTATTTTAAATTGGTCACTTTCAACGAAACTCGTTTTCTTTAATCCGTGTACCCCTTATCCTTCGTAACACTTATTTATCACTTTTTAGCGTAAGTACGTTAACGTCAAGATGATCTCACCCTCGAGTTTACGTTAATTAATTGAAGACGAAATTTTAACGTACGAGAAACGCGAGATGTAACATTCCGGTTTGTACCACTCAAAAGCCTTACGATCATCAACCTGTACAAAAAGCACAACTATCAATTTTTTTTTATGAAAAAACCTAGAACAAACCCAACATAAATTATAATCCATTTAAACCTTCTAAACATTACTTTATCATACCTAATAGTTTTTACGACCAAAAAATCTTCTTCCCGAATTGACATTTGACCATGAAATTTTTAAATGTGACGGATACCTACATTTACAAAGTGGGTTCATCTTCAATGTCTTGGAAAAAACTGGGAAGGAAACCAAGAATATCACTAAGAACTTCAACAAACAAAGAAGAAAATATAGAATTATACAAAAAGAAAGAGCAATAGTATGCTTCAATGGAAGAACTTATAAAGAGGAAGAAATGATAGCGGTTAGGAATATAAAAAATAAAAGGAAAATGTTAATTAGGGGACTTTTTTACCGTTATAGCTGATTAGGTGGTTATTTTTATCCATCCTCACACACCAAAGACCATTTGAGATCACTTCTTGTGCCATGTGGAAGTCCGGGGAGTTTCTAAATTCACTTATCCTAGTGTTGTAATTCGAACCCGAGGTAGTTTAGGTTGGAAACTAATAATTCGCGACAAGTTTAGGGGGGTTAAGGCATTATGCCAATTTTTGTAATGTATTTAAGGCTGAGCACTCATCGGCCCAAATAAGTTAAGCCCATCTGAGTTGATCCAATAAAAAAACCCTAGAAACCCCCAGGTATACATACAGGTCTAGAAATAGCGCCTTTGCTCTTCGCACTGCACTTCTCCTCCTCTCTTACCCTAGCCTCCGCTACTCCCCCTCCCCCTACCCCCTTACGCAGTTCCGCCATCAATGGTAAGGTTCTCTACCGCTCTATTGATATTACATATATATATGTTTGAGAACTGAATGCTGATATGTTGGCCATTTTTGCAGGCTCCGAAGAAGGCAGCTCCTCCTCCGTCGTCCAAGCCCGCCAAGTCTGGTGGTGGAAAGCAGAAGAAGAAGGTCATAGCTTTTTCCTTTTTGATATGACTTTATTTATTCTTTTTTATTGGAATATTTGAGGGTTTTAATGTTGTTGGGGTTTTTTGTGAATTGGCAGAAGTGGAGCAAGGGAAAGCAAAAGGAGAAGGTGAACAACATGGTTTTGTTCGATAAGGCCACTTACGACAAGCTCCTCTCTGAAGCTCCCAAGTATAAGCTCATCACCCCTTCCGTCCTCTCCGATCGTTTAAGGGTATGGATCTAATTTTATAGTATGTTGATTTTAAAGTTTTGTGAAGTGTTTCGTATAGTGTTGGGTTTATCGAAATAAGCGGTAATTGCGCTATTGTTCCCTTAGGTTTACTGATATATTCTGATTTTGGTCTGTGTGATATTTCACTCGACATTTTTAAATTAATTGAAATGTATATTATTGGTCCCTTTACATAGGAAATGTGTAATGTTTAAGTTGTTCCTAGAACTGGATTTTACCTCTAATATAGAGTAACAACACAAATTTAACATGATATGTAAATTTTGTGTCTTGGCATATGCCCTTTTCTCTTTATGCTTTGCTAAGTGAAATATTGATTACCAAGAGTTATAACATGAAGACTTGATCTTCAAGTTGTGTTTGGAATAGAAATTTCTTTTGCTAGTTTATCTGTACTTTTGGATTGTTGTGATTAGAAGAATGGGCTTTGGCTTAATTTTGGGAGAAATTGAGTGTGCTTTTAAGGACTTTGTTTAAAAACCCAATTCATCTTTCAGGCAAGGTGAGATTAAAAGATAAGACATCATTGGATAATATTAAGACTTTCTCATGTGTGTTAAGATTTTTGAAGTACTTGGTGGCAATTGTATTAGTGGAAGGGGTTTAGTTTTTGGTTGAATTGTCGGAGGAATAAGTTCATTTTTGTTTTCCTCAAAAGAGAAGGTAGGAGTTTTGGATTTGGATGTGGCAGCCGTGGCAAATGAAGGAATTTTGCTAGGGTGCTCAAGATTTAAATATATGTTCAAAAAGTAATATCTGAGCTATATACTGTAGAAATTTCAGGTGAAGGTGTTTAACTATGTGGATCTGCTTGGGAGAATTGGTTTTGATTTGTTGCACATGCATCCTTGATGAAAGAAATTTTCTAGTCTTAATGAAGTTTCAGCTTTTTTAATTTATAATTTTGGGTTTGACAGTTAGTTGTTGGTAATGCACCTTATTTTATATGCTGATAATTTTGTGCTAATATTGTTCATTTGTTTGAATTTGCAGATTAGTGGATCCCTCGCTAGGAAGGCAATTAGGGATTTGATGGCTAGAGGGTCCATCAGGATGGTGTCTGCCCATGCTAGCCAGCAGATTTACACCAGGGCTACCAACACCTAAGGCTTTAAGAGCGTTAGACTTGTTTGTTTAATTAGCTTTCATTTTGTTTGAAACATCATGTCAGGACATAAATTTTGTGCGATGAGTTGAAGATTTTTGACTCTTTCTTCTTGTTCGGTTACTCACTGAATTCTTTGGCTTCTGAATTATGATTTTTGTTTTTGTTCCAGAAAGGGTTATGCGTGACTTAGATTTCCGACCTTTTACATAGTCTTTTTTTTAATATCCTACCTTTTACTTGGTCTTTTTACCCATTCCAGGCCTCTTGCTGTAGTATAAGGTATATGAATTCTGCATTGGTCTATGGGTGGAGTTAATTTCGGTCTGCAGTAATTGTGTACCTAAATTGAGAGAGAACTTGGTCATTGAATAACGGGTGTATTAGATGTGTTCTGTTGCGATGCTCGATCTGTAGGTTAAGCATAAAACATAAGTTGAACCGGTAATGTATGGTAAGTGATGAGCGAACAAGGGGGAAGGATGATATACGCTGCCCAAAATTTGTTATTTGGTCTTTATAGACTAGCATTGATTACACAGCCAAGTGTAAGCACATAATTACTCTTACAACTTATCCTTTTGTTGTCAATTACGCACTTGAAGTTCGCGAGAGGGGTTTCAGGCACTTTTGTCAAACGTTGGTGTGAAGAACGGCCGTCTTAAAACAGGGATTTCGTCTTCAACTAAAGGCGGCATTTACGCATTAAACCTTTTTCCCCCTAGCGATTCACTTTTCAAATGGGATATGTAATCGTGGCTGCAACTGGAAATAGCAAGTTGCCTCTATTACCCTAAACTAACAGAACCTGAACGTAAACACAAGAGGATATGAATATAAGACCTGTTGCTTTACAAGACAAAAGTCAAGCACCAGTAATCACAGTGGAAACTTTTCTTATTACCGAGATATTGACACAAAAATGCATGACCTTCGAAATGCTGAGTCCATCAACCAGCAGCACTAAAAGCTTATCTTCCTAAACTAAAAGAACATATTGTCAAATGTTGTAACTCTACTTTCTGACTCGATATTTTGTAAAGCTACCAGAGCTACAGTTTGAACAAATCTCGAAGTAATTACATATCACCAGGATAAGAAAAATGTCTGCGAACAAGCTCAGAAAGATAGTATTTTGAGAATATACGCCCGGTGACCACTTTGTGACTCTCCACAAGTAGCCTATTCTGATCTTTCTACACTGAGATAAACATACAGAACACCATAATCACACTGATTTTGTCCAGCTACCACAGTTTCACTTTGACGAAAGCATGCTGTTTTCATGGTCCACAAAGACCCTTGATATTGCATCGCTGCATAAATCAAGAGGCATTCTCTGCAGAAGCAACCTCGTTTTTTCCAGACTCAAGATTAATGTTGACCTGTGAGTTATCACCTGATTCGTCCTGTTTCGGCTGGTTATCAGTTTTCTTCGCTGTAAAACGACCCCCACATCCTCTAGCTCTTTTCAGTGCATGCAAATGGCGTGATTCATGCAAGTAGGGCTGCAAGATTATTTTGCAATGTGAGCTTCCCAAGGTATTGGTGCTGGAATAACATAGCCTCAGAAACAGATATTATAACTTTTATCATGGGGTAAGGCACCTCATTACCAACTGTATGATATTGGGTCTGGTAGAGATGGTCCAGCACAGTTGACATTCATCTTTGAGCTATTTATTAGGGAGTAAAACACATTATTGATCAGAACCCATAACTTTCTGGATACACAAATTAATCATAGATAAGATTTTCTTTTATAGGAGATAGATCCTCAAATTACGAACCCGAAATGGAATCACTTTGTTTCAGTTATATCAGACTGAATAAGATTTGAAAAGCCATCAAAATCATCACATAAATTTCAGTAGCAGGAAGGTTGTCCAGGGGAATGGTCCGAGATTGAAAGAGCCTTGGAGAGCCCAGGGCAAAGAACATGAGCATTGGAGGTTTCTGTTTGTTCAGTTTTATTTGATGTTAATGGGAATGTCATCATCATCATCATCGTCATCGTCATACCCTGTATAATCCCACATGTGGAGTCTGGGGAGGGTAATGTGTACGCAGACCTTACCCCTACCCGGAGAGGTAGAGAGGCTGTTTCCGATAGACCCTCGGCTCAAGAATGTGTGGAGAGGAAGAAAAGGGAGAAGAAGAAGAAATAGTGGGAGGAAAGAAACAACAAGGAGACAAAGGACGATAAGACAAAGGGAGAAAATAGTAGCAACAAATAGTATCAATCAGGGAGCAACGTTAATGGGAATGTCTACAATCAAAAACGAAGTTTCAGTAGAAGAAAAAAAGCAAGAATACTTCCGAAAGCATTTTCCTGGCAGAAAAGAGACGTACAAAGCAAAAAGGAAAGGATATTGAAAGTATAAAAAGGTTAGCTAAAATTTCATGTAGTCCCCTCCCCACCACCCCCCCCCCCAAACTTACCGTGAGCAACACATAGAAACCTTTAGAAAACTAAATCCAGATTTCCTAGGAGCAAAGGGATCCTGTTTTATCCCAGTTTGAGGTGTTAGTTCTTCATGATGACTTCTAACACATCAAACCCAGATTCTGCTGGATCCAAAGCAGACTTGGAGCAGAACCAATCCAGATAAATTAGCCACAAAATATGCATTAGATATTGCAGTATTATGTTTATTTTACAAATGAAATATTTAATTGACATTTTTGTTGCTTTCTCATTGCTGCATGTGCAAATATACTTCCGCTATTTCCATTTAAATTAGAATAATTTTAAGTCGTGGTAAACAGATTAAGCACTAAGAGTAAACGGAACCGTGAGTAGCTCTCAAAATTTGACAAACGAGGATTATCCATTTAGATCACTAAGCCCGAGAATTCCAAAGACAGGCTTTAAAACTTTTTTAATAGGCTACATCAGGCTCAGCATGTAATGCATAAGAAGGTTTAAAAAGCAATTAGCCAAAACTGCTTTCTTTCATATACTTGAACTTTCAAAACAGGGAGTGAATTTGAAACTACAGCACATGTAACCTGCAACTGTATGATGCTCCCTCTAAAGGTATTTAATGAAAATATGTCACAGCAAGAGGATTTTTCCCCAGCTCCAAATTTAGGGTCTTTTCTTATTACATCCAAATGTTTGCCCAAAGATTAGAGCAACTTTGATGGACAACTGATCAACAATATAGATGTTCTAAAATTAAGAGCTTTTGTTGCATCAAAACCTTTGTACAATGTAATGTGAAAATAATATGGCATACTAGCAAACTAAGATCTTTATGTGTAACAACAGAAAAAAGAGGGGTCTAAAGTTACAGTCCGGCAAAAACATCCATTTGAGAACTTGCTCTGCTATGCATACCGGAGTATATACATTAGTAAAAGAAATAGAAATTTAAGATTGTGGCGTTGTATGGTTGTCCTCATAAGGAAAAACAATCATGGAATAAATTCTGCATAACTAATACAATGTTAGGTTCGCAACATAGAACTCTACATTAACAATTTAGGGGTCGTTTAGTTACCGGGATTTTAATCCTAGAATAGCCTTGTTCCAAACGAAACGACCCCTTAGTATATTATTTCTGGTATTAGAATCTGCACTATTAATATCGACCTAACTTATGCTGAAATCTATGTATTATTTTAAGTGGGACAAAATGCAGATATTAGTATACCAAGTAAGTATCTACCAAAGATGCCCTCAAAGTAGCAATCCCTGCATAACAATCCCTACATATTACTTGATGTATAACAACCCATACATAATTATTCATCTCATAATAATCCCTATGTATTATCCACAGTATAACAAACAATTCATGTATTATAATCCTAACATAACAAATCCATGTATGTGTTATTTTAATAGAAGGACTAGAAACGCATAGAACCTTAAAAGTATGTGCATAACTTGCAATTTAACATCTAGAAGGCTGTTAAACTAGGAAATGATAAATCAGCAGATGAAACGAGATCAAGCTGCCAGGTCGCCTGTAAATAACCTGTAAATAGAATACTGGACTACTGAAGCAACATTTTTGGTGACAATCTAATTTCTTGGGGCTCTAAAAAGTTTAACAAATAACAAGACAAAAATGCATTTCCGAGAAAATACCTTCCTAGCTTTCAGAAGTTTCTTTTCTGACTCAGCTTTCGCGCGAGATTGTCGACGCCTCAAGATGCCATGATACTGTTTTGCATTAACAAAAACAGGTTCGTCTATTGCGTCTGATGGCAAAGGAACACCAGCTTGTTGAATTCCCATAAGCTGAACGTGAACCTGAGAGAAAATGGCATAAATACAGCTCTTAACTTTTTAGGGACATTTCTGAGATGAATTCCAAATGAAAAATGTTAAGAAAAATCTAATACCATCGGTTGTGCTGGATAAGGTTGTGTAGGATAAGGCTGTGCATCGTATGGTGCAAAGATGCTCCTATAGTATGGGTCTGGATAAGGATAAGCTGTTTGAGCCTGCAACTAAAAATTGATGCAGATTTATTATCATAAAAATAGACGCAAGACAACCAATCACCAAAGTGTATATACAGAATTAGTAGACACAGAAATGGGCTTCAAATAATTCCTAAACTGGTACCTTAAAGATCTATAGTCTCATTAGATTCTTTAAAAGCTGTCCAATAAAAATGGATGTCCTACTAAGAATACTTAGCATAGCTGGTATTATGTATGTCAAATGCAAGAGAGGGAGGGAGATAAAACATCCAGTTCCAGGTTAATCTTTAGGCAGCAGTCGATCTGAATAAGGACCACGGATTTTCAACAACAGTTGGAAACAGTTATAGCACTAAATTTCATTCAGAAGCTGAAAGCTGGCAAAACTTAAAAGGCATTTGCATTTAGACAAGCATTTACAGTATAACTAACTGTATGCTTCAAGCTGCTGCATCAAGAGTCTACTTGATTCAGATCATCCCTACCATGGTGATCAAAGAATTCTGCTAGTGTATCCCTCCTATAGGACAAAGACTTACCTTAAACGAAACTCTAGGCCAACAGACCTACACGAAAGTTTTAGCCAAATTGTGGCAAGTGCAGTTCCTAGAGCAAGAGTGACAAACAGATCACGCAATCTGAAAACGAAGCAATGCCTAGAGAATTAGTTCCAAATAATACCAAGCTTGTAAAACAGGATTTTACTTAAAACCAAATAGAGAGATTAAAAAAAAAGTGTGTGTATCTAACCTAGTCATACCAATTTTCAAGACCAATGAAAATACCAGAAGACAAGCCCAGAATGGAAATTTTAAACTATCCCAAGGTCTTCAGTTATTGAAAAATCCACCATGACAGGTCGTAAATATCGAAAAGTCATGAAATACGTATTGTCAATGTTACAACGTCACCATTCAAAAAGTTTATGCAACTTACATAAGCACACACTAGACAGGGTATTTTTTTCTCACAACTGAACGTTTTTATCAGTAGTGATCAAAAGCAATATCTAACTCCTTCGAGAACTATGCAAATTTTCTAATTCTCAGTCAGAGGCTATCAGCCCTTATTATATCAGCCAGGGAGACAACATGACAATCTATAAGCAGATATATCTCCCATCCTACTCCAAGTACATCTGGAATACTACTATGACTTGATGCATTAATCTGCATCTTCTTAGGTTCATATTCACCTATTACTTTCTCAAATTGTCCGAACGACACCAGCTATTCTGCTATGCTATCTAATAAGCAACTTTTGTCAATTTATAGGTTGACATAAAACATCAGACCATTCATTCATATATCTGAAATTACTGTCACAAAATAATAGCCTAGGCATCCTTTGCATCATATGGATTCATCCCTAGATACAAGAATCCTAAGCGCAATCATAGCTCCATTATGCCCCACCTTAACCTATTTATTATCAACTTGGGCTTTCATGATTTTACACATTCAATTATTTGGTCAAGTTTTATACACGGTTCCCTATTTCAAGTATCAAAGCGGTCAAGGAAGATCAGAACCACATAACTTTTTCTTGTTATGACCAAATATGAACAAGTGCACTTCATCTCACAAAACAAAGAAGCCTATTAACAAGTGCAACAATGATAATACTCACAGAACCATCATCAGTATAATTTCATGCTTTAACTCTTTTGTTTTCAATCAGTTAATTCTTGAGATATCTATAGCCTATTTGACGAGACCCCTAGTTCATTCAAAGTTAACACTTCTAGGATCAGATCTGGTCGAACGAACAGGAGGGTGGTTGCATCTGTTAGCAAGAATAATGAACACATAGAAAAAGATATCAAATTCGGACTTAATAGCGACATTCACAAATCTGGCAGTAGAAGTTAATATGAGCTTCAAATATACCATAGCATTTTCATTGCCAAGTTGAGCGGGCATCACATAGTGCATATTTGATGTTACAGTTCCAGGGAGAGACATTCCAGTAGCAGGGGATGAAGACTCGCTGTGAGCCTCTGATTGCTTCTCTGGCTGTTCATTCTCACTACCATCTGACATTTATTACAGTAACACAGGAATTAAAAGCTTTTCATTATGTAACCTAAAGCACATACCCAACTTACTTTAGCCTCCTGCTTTTGTCAGAGGTGACTCTGTTTCTTTACAAATTGAATGTGAAACAAAAGCATACATTGGCAGTAATTCTTTTCTTTTTTTTCTGATAAGTCCAAAATCTTTTGATAAGACAACTTTTCATTGATAACACACCATGAAGGCATCAAAAGAACGCATTAAAAGATAATCGGCTCAACCAGTGTCATCTAACAAGTACTCCTGAATCTTGACTATCTATACATACTGGGATTTTTGCTTTTCAACATTATCTTTATATTTTTTTACATCCTTTTAGCTATTATAGAACCTATATCTTTCATTCCAAATTAGCCAAGGGATGCATAGAGGCGTTATTCCAACTGCCTTCATTTTCTTAACAATCTTCCACAATACTTAAAAAAAAAACAATCTGCCACAATAGTATGGAAGATTTCTCAAGCTGCACATTTGATGTCATGAATATGCTTCAACTCAGAAAATTGGAGGAATCACACAAAAAATGTGCCAGATTTTCCTACCACGGGAGTAAGGGTTCATATCCAACTATATGTGCAGAAGGGCAAGGGTACTGAGATCACTCAGTAATGAAAGACATGTGAATCAAGCTAACTTCATGCTCAACATAACACAGTTAAGGACTCGAGAAACAAATCTATACCACCGACAAAATAGTGTACTAGAAATACAGAAACTAACCTGAATGATAATGAAGCGAGGACGTCATGACGCTGCTTGTCACAGAATCCCCAAATTAACAAGCCTATGCAGTTAAATGAAAAGGATGGATCAGCAAAAAAATAGCACATACTATACCACAAATGTATGCACGAGCATAAGTAATTCCATACACAACCTAAATTCAACCTTCAGATATAGTGACAAGACTTCTTCATTTCTCATATCTCAACATTTCTACACATAAGCCCATTTCCTTCGAATATCCATGCTACAAATCCAAATTACTTATGCAATTAAAACACACATGTTACTCTTCATTTTTTTTATCTTTCAAACTACAAATCAACCTTAAAATTACATGAATTTTCACATAGTCCAGTTAAGTTTCTCAGGTAAACAACAAATAACAGAAGATGCTAAGCTCAAATCTAATTTTCCGTTCCTTTTGAGATTTCTTCAATATTTTATGCAAAAACATGTAAACTCTAAATTCAACATTCAAAAATGAAATACAATTAGATAATAACACTTCATATTTCAACACTTTCGGCACATAAACTCAATTACGATAAAAATAAAGATAGATTTCAAATCGAAATATGCAAACCATAAGAAAAATTCATCTCATAAGCAATTGAAAACTTAAACAGCTCAAACGAACTACATGAATTTTTACACATGCAAGCACACAAAGTACGAAGCTCAATTCCTCAATTTTTTGTCCGAAATCCAGCCTTTTATTAATTCTGAAAACAAATTAGGTTTTTGAACAGAAAAGTTTACCTTTTAGGGAGAGCTTCACGTACAGAATAGAAAAAAAATAGTAAGCGGTTTATTTCTGGCGTTTCCTGTGTTCTTTTCTTTCTTCAGAGCTTTTATTCAGTGTTGGTAGCAGCAGCGGAAGTTTCGAACTGTTGTTTCTCTGTCGTGAGACCAGTATTTACCAAAACTGTAAAACATTTTACTGGGAGTTGTCACGTTGGCTTTCACTATTCTTCTTTTTACTTTTTCTCTTACTTAAATTTAGAAAAAAAAACACTATATTCTAGTTACAAGATTTAAAGTAAATTCGATCCTACCTCAATAAAGCATATCAGCATTAATTTAATTAACTTTTAAATGACGTCTATGAAAATAATTATAAGTTTATATATAATCATATAAATGCACGTTTTATAATTATAATATTACGCAAAAAATAATACTTCAAAAGGAATGAAGAAAAATCGACTAAGCATGTAAAGTATTTCAAACGACATAAAAAAGCTCATTTTAACTAAGATATTTTTTATTTTACTAAATATAATATCAGTCAACGGTAATATAAAATACGTTAGTAAATTAATAGTAGGTGTATATGTAATTTACCCCCAATAAAAGGAAAATAAGAAAAGAAAAATGGGAAACAGAAAATATGTGGTTTAGAGGGGAAAGACGAAGTGGTCCAAATTTTTGGCAGACAAAAAGAGAAAAGCAGTTGCAATCGTAGCCAGAAATTTATGTGGACCCTAAATTGGAGTTGTCAGTAAAATAAAATCATTTAAATAAGGAATTATCTTTTTTTCGTCAAATAAAAAAATATTCTATTATATAAGCATGTGGCACACTGGCAGTGGGTTGAAGGCTTCAAGCTGCGTCATACTGGTCCCTGATTTTGACCCAATCTTCCTACAACTGAGGTAAAAGGACATCAAGTTTAATTTAATTATGCAGTAAGTTTAGAATTATTCTATAAAACTTGTAAACGCAGAAAATATAAGAATGTAAAAAAATTTAAATCTTGCAGTCTACATTAAAGATATATATATAAAATAGCAAATATACACTTTAAATTTTATAATCTTAAACATGTTATATGATTTGTGAAACTTACTAAATAAAGTCTTAAGTCGAATTACGTATAACATGGTTTCACTTTGAACATGCTCTCAAACATTTTACCTTTTGACTGGTTACAGTAAATGATTATTACAATGCAAACACACTTTCCCTAAATTTGTAGTAGCTTCTCACATTTGTTTATATATATTATATTTCATTCACAATTCTGTCACTGGAAATTACAAATTAACATGTTAGAATCTACATTATTTACCTGATTTTTTAACCAATTCAACTTTTGATTAACTAGCTTATTATGGAAGGGAATGTAGGGAAATTCTGCAATGGATATTTCAGTAAAAAGAACTTCATGGATTGACATCATTTGCTGTAGCACATATTAGTCAGCAATACCACCTAGAGCAAGATGCATTCCTCAAAATAACTAGGCCTTCTCACTAATGTATTTTTATCATGGACAAGCAAAGAGATGTTGCTCCTTGTTCAAGAAAAATACATTGATCAGAAGACTTCAACTGATTGCTAGACGAATAAAACCTAGTCCTTGGATTGAAAGAGTACTAAGAAGTCTCCTGCGACATCATTGTTCTTTCCATATCCTACCAGTAACTCTAAGCTTCAATTCTTTCCGGTCTCCACCAGAAAAGAAGAGCGCCATATTACGTTGAATGATGAGGCCATCAAAACTGTCTCTAACCTTACGGTGACTGTCCCTAACGCTTCTTGGTACCCCTTGCCAAATCATCTTCCTTCCATTGCCTCCAACTTCAAGACTGTAGCTAAAGTTCTTTGCCGTTTCATCATCACCCAAGAACCGTAAAAATGCAATATAAACTGGTGCCATTCCAAGTTGAAATGCTTCAAAGTGTAAACAGAAGTACTGACCAAAGCAACTGAAAACCTGGAGGAAAATTAAAATGAGACCACAATATTCCAGATATGAACTCAAAGTATAGGACCAAAAATTAAGCAACAATATCAGCTAAAAAACCCGCTGGTTAGATTCCACATAGTGAAAAGGACAGCACACAGAAAAGGGTACAGCATAACATATAACCAGGTAGGTACAAAACAATCTGCCAAGCTAGCCAACTTTGTTGGAGACGAGAAGATCCTAGTACATGGATTTGACATGGAAAGAAAGATCTTTGCCATATTCATTGGCTTAATTTTCCTGGCTCAAGGTTTTCCTTAAAAGAGCAAATTTCGCAAAAGTTTTTTTTTTTTAATGCAGAAAAGGTCCCTCATCCGTTTTGAAATTACAATGTATGTGATACCAAATAATTGATCCTCCAAATTCAAAAGGCCCCCAAAACAACAGCCACTTTGCAATGGGCAGCCAAATTACAAAAAAGATATGCCAGTGCTCATGTCCAAAGATTAAGGATATTCCAGTTCATACAGCCAAATGATCTACCACTAAGATTGAGGGTATCGGTCAAAACATTAATGGCTTTCCAGCTTACGTAATCAAGCAAAATCCTAAACAAAAAACAAACCATAAAAAATGAACAAGAAGACCACCAAGCCACTCCCCTCATCTCCTCCATCTATTTTCTTCAAGGTTATGGGCAAGTAGTATGCTAATAAAAGAAGTGAAGAATTTAATTTGTTGTTCCTATTATGAACAAACTGAATTTATTATTTAAAAAGCACTATTTCGTCCCCTGATCAAAAGAAGCGAAAAGTAGGGATGTCAAATAAAACCTTATAGCATCTCGACTGAAAATACTGAAAAACAAAAAGGCTTGAGTCTTGAACTCACAGCATAATATTCATGCGCCCATACTTCACAGCAAAGAAGTCACACTAATAACATTCCCCTATACACAAATCTAGCACACTTTCAGAATTTGTTTGCTAGAGTTGCCTACTTTGAATTAGACCAAAAGCTAATCAGTGAATGGAAGAAGAGCAACAGTACTTACAGTGAGCATCCATGTAGCATTTTCCACTTCATGGGGATTTGCTTTTACATAACGATGATTGAAAGTACTGCCGACATGCATATCAACTTTGTGATCATCTTTCAAATGGGCAACTAAATATGGGATGTCACCAATGACGGTGCACTCTGAGCCCGCATAGGGGCAATTATAGGGTCTGAAAGAGCATTCAGATTCGTGCTTCAGCTTGCTGTAGTAAGGAATGATTCCTATACATCCAAAGCTCTGATATTTACATGGGAGCTCAAGAGATGCAGCAACCTTCTCTAATGCAAGGCATCGAATATTACCAAGCTCATGCCGACATGTTGGACAGCGATTATGCACCCTAGGTTTGCAACCCGAACACAGTGTGTGACCGTTGGAACACTGCAATAAGGGCAAAAGAGATAGAGAAGAATTAAATACCGCACAGACAAGAAACAGAGACAACAATAACGGTCGGAGCGTCTTGTAAAAGAAGAAGAATAACTGTATAAAAGATATCACTCCAGTAATAGTTTGTGAGCATAGATCACTATGCCCTCTGTTCCATTTTACATGGTACTATTGGGGAATCAAACATTTTTTCTCGTTTGGAGACGGAAGAATATTTTTTTCACTAATTAACTTTAAAAAAAAAAGACAAAGAAAAACATGTAAGTTTTATCCTACACTATTCTAAAAGAAAAACCTGACCTAAACTCTATCTTTTTCCCCCTTCATTTTCTCTTTTTCCTCTTTTCTGTTTGTTTACATAAAGATTGAAAATCCCATCTCTAAAGAGGTGAATGAGAAAAAAATTGTATTTTTAGAACGTAACCCTAAGCAAAGGCAGGTAAAGGGATCCATCAACATTTAGCAGCAAGAAATTCAGATAATCATACCTGATGAATGGGTGGATACATAGCATTTAAGCATACTGGGCATTCCAATAATTCACGAACACTACTAGAAACAGTCACATTAGGTTTTGTTGTATGCTGAGCAAGCTCATTCATATGTTCACCAATGTCCGTGCAGTCTTCATTTCGTGGAGGATTAATGACCTCAGATTGACATCGCAGGTCATCAAAATAAGGACTTCCAGTTGCCATTGCTCTTATAAGCGGTTAATCACTGCATAAGCCAAGTATTCCATCAAATAAGGTTAAACACCTCAATAGTTGGTGATAAAATAAGCATGTAATAGTTGATAACGGGATACATCCAAAAATGCCAGTAAGACCAGACCATCTGTAAGATGCCATATAACTCAGTTACTTGAGGGTATTTCATTTTCAGTGGGCAGAACCCAGAATAATGAACTTAAAAGACACTAAGCTACTTTCACACAGCAAAACAATAACATTTAACTAATCAAAAGGCAAAATGACAACCCACTGAAAGACAACTTCTCCAAGATCTCATGATGCATGACATATTAACACTATTCTCCTTGTTTACTTTAAGCAAATAGGTGCAATCCAAAAGGTTTTATTGAGATGATAGCGAGAAAACTGGTGGAGAAGATATATCTCAAACAGTAGTTGAGTTTCAGCGATTTATGAACATAAGATATAGGACGTGAGCACCATTGTCATAGAAACCTGCAGAAAACAAAACCTCTTGCAAGTGCTTTTCCAGGCAATCGTTTACATATACTTGCAGGTCTTGCTATCACTTTTGCTTTCCATGTTTACATTGTCTATATCCATATCGGAATCAGAATATCAGGCGTATGTTGAGAGAAGATGGAGCTGTATGTAACTCTCCAAACAACTTTCCTGGACAATCTAAAAACCAAAACCATCTCCAAGTCCCAAGCACAACATTAAGCATCTAACTCTAAGCATTTTAAGATTTTCCAAGCCTTTCTATAGTAAACGTAATACTATTTGAATCTACAATTACGGTCATGCATGTATTGCGTGGCACGCATAGCACCCACAAACTCCTTATTTAATTTCCCAAAAAATGAGCCATTGAAGAAGGCAAAATCAATCTAAACACCAGGGCACTCTTCTATGATATCTGCAATCTGAAGAATCAAATAATCTTTAGACAAAGGTGGCGTACATGTCAACTTGCCACACCAGGACTAGCCCACTGAGTACTTGCTACCTTCCACCAGCACATATACCGAGTATCTCTGCCTACCAAGACTTGGAACGACGGAAGGAAACCACCTAAGTTTTTCTTTTTTGACTATGCTAGAATTAGAACCCTGATCTCCTATGGTCCATTATAGGTTGCCATTAGGCCACACCCCAGGTAGCCCAAGGATCAGATATTAAATTTCTTTTTATCTAGCAAGCTCCGAATGTTGTTATTTAGTGGTGTGATTGTCGCTTATAGCTCATGGCTCCAACTAAAAGGACAAGAAAGATATAGAAATCTCCATTTACAAGTCAAATATTTACAGTTAACTTGGCAGCACTGCGCACGCCATAAAACAGACGATAATATTAAATTAGCTAGGTCTATTAATCTTCATCTGCTGGACTTGAAAAAATTCATTTCGCAAAACACATATTTCCACTTTAATAAACAATCCAAAAAGACACATTTGATACAGTAACATCAGCATCTTTAAACATCACAAGTTCACAATTTCAGTTAAACCTTCTTATCGACCCTACCCCCCCCCCCCGAACCCCGAAAAAAAACCGAAAGAACGAAACTACGTAACCGAAAACGAACACNCCCCCATCACAACTCATGGTCACGCTGATAACTCACTTACTAACTAGAGCTACTCTCACATATATGACAAGTAGACGAGGGTGTACATATATACTCAGCAATATCAGGAGAACTTCATATCCAATGGGAGTGTTAAACTATGTGTATGCTTGTGCAAGGGCTTTAACATAGTTCCTACTAGCTAATAAGCATAAGGAAAAGAACGGACGACATGTAAGATGTTTTCTCACAACTTCCACGAGATAAAACTCATACACATAAGCATACCACAACACAATATCAAATAGCAAGAATGCCCCTAGGCCATCACAAATCATCACAGTCAACCCCTGACATAACCCACCTTGTCTCGCCGCGTGTCCAAATAATAACATAATGAGTGCCCGCCTTGTTTCGCCACACGTGCATCATAATGTTCCCACCTTGTCTCGCCACATGCGCAACCCACATATAAGTGTATATATATATACACACATACACACACACACACATATCCCACCTTGTCACGCCACATGCGCAATATGTCAATAGTAGCCATAGCACGGCTGAAACCTCGTGCAACCCAATAACATCAACCGCATGGTAGACACCTCGTGCATCACAATATCAACAACCGCATGGCAGAAACCTCGTGCACCACCACAACAAGTACCACAACAACAATGACAATATATACAAGAACATGACAACTAAATCAACTCGAGAACTTTCGATCACAAGGAGACGGTAAAACTAGCTCACTAGGAATAACCACAATAGAGAATGCTAAGCGTAATAAGAACCTCTCAACAACGGAAAAAATAATGTGAAGCGACGATCCCACAATATGTAGTTCAACAACAAGGAATCTAACCCGGATCAAATAATTCCAAATAAGGAAAATGTCAACTAAATATAGTATACCAAAACTTCGTTTAACGTTGGGCAATTTACAAAGAATATACAAGAATTTCAATTAATGATGAACAGCAAGAAGATAATCATAACCTCATTTAAGACTAAACAATTACAGGAGAGATAATAATGGTTACCAATAAAGACAAGCAGTTATGAAAGATAACATGACAATAGAAGAGGTAAAAATCTTCAATTAAGCAAAATAAGAGTCAAATAGGCAATAAGAATGAATCATAAAGCAATTAACACCAATTAAAGCATGTAGAGGTGAAACTAGTAAATGGAAGCTCGATCGTATCAAGAACGACTTCATACTCAGTGAATACAAGGACATAAGAACTCTAAAAGGCCAACTTTCCACAAATAAGTCTGAACACGCACTCCTCACCTCGTGTACACGGACTACAATAAACATAGAAGACTCAAATCTTAAGGGAAAGTCCCCCACACGAGGTTAGGCAAGATACTTACCTCAACCCGACCAATTCAATACTCAATTTAGCTTTTCCTTTATCGATTCATCAACGCTCGGCTCAATCTAGCCAAAAATGAGTTGAATACATCAAACAATGCAAGAGAAAATAATATCAATTGACAAAACTATGATTCTTATACAATTTGAAAAAAGTCAACAAAAGTCAACTCCTCGGGCCCGCACCTCGGAACCCGATAAAATTTACAAAAACCGAACACCCATTCCACTACGAGTTCACCCATACAAAAATAATCTAATTCCGATACCATTTGGTCATTCAAATCATCATTTTACCTTTTTGAAAGATTTCACAATTTTCCCCAAATTTTCTTAGATTCTCATGAATTTGATGTTAAATCTAAGATATAATCACAAAATATAGTTGGAAATTGATTAGAGACACATACCCATTGATTTGGAGAAGTTTGGGTCTTTGGAAAATCGCCTATGGAGGTTTAGGGTTTGAGAAAAATTGAAAAATGTGTGAAAATCTCGTCAAAAATCACACTTAACAGGCCTCAGATGTCGAATTTGCGACCCAGGGTTCGCAATTGCGAACCCTCGCAATTAGTGAACAAGGCAGGGCTGGCACATTTGCGACTAAAAGTTCGCATTTGCAAAATGGGCACCGCAGTTGCGATGAAAAAGTTCGCATTTGCGGCCACACCAGAAACCAGCAATTTTTCCCGACACGAAAATGAGCATAACTTCCTCATACGAACTCCAAATTCGATGATTCTTTTTCCTATGGCTCCATAATTTCAATAAGGATCTAATGGTTCAAAAAAAGCTGAATTTGGATCTCATTTGCTCAATATGGTATCATTTTTGTTCGAAGAAACGACGATGAAGCATCCAAAAACAAGCGCAACATAGCCTAAACCCATTCGAAACTCACCCAAGCCCTCGGGGCTCCAAACCGAACATGCACGCAAGTCTAAAAGCATCATACGGACTTGCTCGTGTGATCAAATCTTCATAATAACATCAAAAACTATGAATTTAACCTCAAAACTCATGATTTTCTAACTTTTCTAGCGGTCGTCCAAATCACGTCAAATTAATTCGGATTCTCACCAAATTTCATAGATAGAAGTTAAATATCATAACAAACTTGCACCAGGCTCCTGAACCAAAATACGGGCCCGATACCAACGAGTTCAAACATTAATTCATTTATTTATTTCCATTAAAAACCAGCACAATAATTTTCTTCAAAAATTGTTTTCTAAGGCTAGGGACCTCGGAATTCAATTCCGGGCATACGCCCAAGGCCCATATTTTACCGCGGACCTCCCGTGATTGTCGTAACACAGATCCGGGTCCGTTTGCTAAAAATGTTGACCAAAGTCAACTAAAAACCAAATTTTAACTCTAGAAATTACTATATTTTTCATATTTTCACATAAAAGCTTTCTAGTTTCACTCCCGGACTGCACACGCAAGTAGATACACATAGTATGAAGCTACTCATGACCTCAAACTGCTGAACCGAACGAAATTGCTCAAAACGACCAGTCGGGTCGCTACACTTTCCAAATCAACTCTGAACTTCTCGGGATTCAATTCCGACCGTGCGCACAAGCCATAATACCTGAAATGAAGCTGCTCATGGCCTCCAACTGCTGAGCGACACGCTAGAGCTCAAAATGACCGGTCGGGTTGTTACATTCTCTCCAACTTAAACATATGTTCCTCCTCGAACGTGCTAAGAAATGCGCTGGAGTAGGCTGAAATCACAGTTAAACACCTTGTGCAGCTACCCGTGCTACCACAACCCAGTTGAGCATATTAGCTTGAGCAAATCTGAAGATATTCTCTTTTATTCAAATAAATGAGCCTTAGAGCCCAGTTTCAACATATGAAATTCTCTGCCAAGCATGCTCCCAATATAAAAACACTGTATAAATCACCACATGATGCACCGATACAAGATTGCGTACCTTTGCTGAATTCACACTATGCACCACGTCGTTCACAGGACCATAATGACATTCTCTTATCATAATAGCCGACTTTCCCCGAGTCTGATGCTCACATTGCACCTCATGATATATTTAAGTCTGGTTCAAACTCTTACAATACTGCCATGACGGAAGAGACATGTAGAAATTCATAACCAACTGCCGGGTCTACAAATCATTGAGGCTACACTCCTGACATGAACACTACCTCATTCTGAACCAAATAATGATCTTTGCTCTTTAATATACTTCGTACGATCCGATAGTACTGATCCTAGATCCAAAAACATTGTCTCACCCAGTACGAACTGCTCAGGCAACGAGTCACCCTAAACATGACCAAAAGTCTCATATGATTCCACAACGTGCCAATAGGCTACCAACTCGAACACGATACATAAGAAAGACGAGCTCTGGAAGGGACTACCCCACTCACACAGTTAATATGAACTCACCTTCGAAAATGGAAAAAAAAACACACAGAATAGAATATAAGGGACTGTAATTATCATCACACTGTTGCAGCGCGCAACCCGATCCGCACATAAAACTCAGTAAGGAGATACGCATCGAGCTAAATTGCTTATTACCACAAAATATCGAATATCGGTCACAAGCACGCTAAGTGCATAATACCGTCCCTGAGGGGACATATAGCGCCATAAGCTAACAAACCCAAGCACAACTGAGGTGCGATACATGTTCTAAAACTAAAGATCCATCCTGCTCACATAACACCATCGCTACGCGGAACCTCAACACATAAGAAATTTACCAAGCTGTTTTGCAACTCACACGACACAATATAGCATTAGATGAAATAGTCGACGACGGATCAACATCCAAAGTCCGAACACTCCTCCATAAGGAGAGCTGTACTGAAATGAACACATTAGGCCCGATATAGAGCCCATATTCATATTTATATCCATCCACAGACCTCAAGCCGATTCTGATCGTACCGAACTAGGCCAATAATCTTTTCGGGGTCCATAATAACCCTTATTTCCCGTAACTCAAGAGAACAACCTTCATAACCGAAGTAATCCTCCCCAGTCCACAAACCAATAAACTGAGTGCCCTCCAGGCATAAATTCTCAATTAACCGTATCACCACAATCTTCATACTTGGTTTCATTCTCCACTCAACCAAGTGACTACATGCCCCACTTATACAATCTTCCTGTGGGACACGCTCCCATGATCTTCTGTAATAGATAACAAGTCTGCACATCCATACTAGCCGCCACACTAACGCTAAAAAGGGTTCAAGAATCCATAAGCAAGATGCAAAGCCTCTTTCAGAGAACACCGATCCCAGGTGACGCTGAAGACAATACCAGCTTACTCTAACCATTCGAACCCCATTCATGCTCATCCGAGCTCGTGACATTCTTGCCAACACCGGACCGCAACCTTGATCCTCACTTTCAAATTCCATACTGCTCACTGTACCTAGTAAACCAGCATGCGATAGTACAAGAATTTCATCACAACTCCTGAACCACTAACATGGTAAACACTTCCTCACATGGAAGCTTTTTACTTAACTCATTCCAAGAGAACCATAG